GAAGTTGCAGAGTGCATTGGTAGTTCAACAACTTGTCTGTATTGCCATCAGAGAGACCCTGTGCTGTTTGTATGAGGATGTCCCTGATGGGAGAGTTCTGGGCTCCTGGGGGCAGGGAGGAGGGTCCATCGTGTGTGTATGTATGTGTGTCTGTGTGTGTTGTCGTGGGGGGATTGAGAGGGTGGCTGCTGTCATGATTCAGCCCTGAGCCCCTTTCTGCTCTTACATCCACAGGCTATTACCGCCCTAGCCCCATGGCTGAGTATACCGAGGACAGTCCTGGGGGGGATTTCGACTTCTTCTCACGCCTGGTGAGCTCCTGGGAGGCTGCAGCTCTTATCCCTGGGAGCCCAGCTCGTAGTGTTGTGGTGAGATCTGGTGAGAAGGGGCATCATGCCTGTTTAGGGTGGCTCTGCTTTGTTGCTGGGGCAAGAGGGGGAAGAGCAGGGAGAAGGACATTGGGTCTTGTGCCTGTCCTTGTTGGGGTGCTCTTCCAGTCCAGCCCTCTAAGGATTGTCTCCTGGTTGTAGGTCTGGGGGTGAAGGGGGCTTTTGTCATTTGACAGGGAGGCATCCTGGTCTCACTCTGTTCTCCCCACAGGGGTAGTGCTGGGCCAAGGTGGTGGTGCGATCTCTCAAATGCTCTGGCCTTTCCGTCTGGGACTAGGAGGTCCCTTGGGCTCTGGGCTCCAGCCTTTCCCATGGATCCACATTCGAGACCTCACTGGGATCGTGTGTCATGCCCTGGAGAGTGAGTGCGTGCAAGGCATCCTCAACGGTGTGTCCCCATCCTCCCCTGCCACCTCCAATGGCACCTTTGCTCAGGAGCTTGCTGCAGCCCTGAGGCGTCCAGCTCTGCTGCCGGTGCCTGCTTGGGCTGTGCGGGCTGTCTTTGGGGCAGAGCGGGCTGTCATGCTGTTGGAGGGCCAGAGGGTGGTGCCAAAACGTACCCTGGAGAGCGGCTACCATTTCATCTTCCCTGACCTATCTGGAGCCCTGAAGGACATCGTGGCTTGAGAGCTCCTCAGTTGGGCTAGGTTGGGCCTATTTCTGTGAAGTCCCTGTCTCACATGCCTTCCCCTGGGTAGGTAGTCATGCCCCTTCTTGACACTTCCCCATCCCCATACAGAGAGGGTGAGCAATCTTTTCCCCTTCTGGCTCCCTTTGTGCATCCCCAGTTTAGGAGTCATCTCTCTTATTGCCATCTGCCATCTCCACATATCCTACTCTTGGGGAAGGGCAGAAGCCCCTCTAAGGATGGTGACTGCTGAATCTGCCATCTTGCCTTTTCCACAGCATGCACGTGAGCTGCGTGCAGAGCAACTGAGAGACAGGTCCAGATGTTCCATGTTACTGGAAGTCCCTCTTCCTGTCTTTCCCCATATGTTTCCCCCATGGTCCCACAGAGACCTAGTTATGCTCTTCTGCTTTTTTTTTCTCAGTCTCATAGGGAATGGAGTTCTGGTTGTGTGAGAAGATCCATCCTGAGGGGGCACAAAGGGGTGCTGGATACAGATGGCTTTGGAGACTTTGCCATCTCCTTTCTTGTGGTGGCTCTGTGCTGGTACCAAGTTGCTGTGTCGGAACCTTCAGCTGAGTCTGGGCCCAAGAGTTGCACCCTTCCAGGGCTGCATAACCCTGATGCTGTGGCAGGGATGAAGAGCAGTGCTTTGCCAGCCTGCAGGGACAGGGGTGATGGTGGGACTGTTGTCCCGTGAGCTGCTCTTGAGGCCTTTGGTAAGTGTCAACTACATCTGAGCTTGTGCTGGGGAGAAACTGGGTGGTTCATCTTGGTGTGAGGTAGTGCAAGGCAGTGCTTTACTCTAAAGAGAGCGCTTAGCTATTGCCTTCATTGTAGTTACCTAATCCCAGACACAGTGGTTTTCCCTTATTCGTCCTATGAGGGGGTTCCCACTGATTGGGCAATGAGAATATCCAGGCTGCCTGGGCTGCCTTTTGAAGCAATACCTATTCTTTTGTGGAGAACACTGTGATTTCATCATCTCATACTGTAAGGAAATGTAGCCGCATGCTTCCTCTAACCCGTTTTCACGTGCCAAAGTAGGTTGCGGGATGTGAAAGCTACAGAGCAGCTAAGTGCATTATAGCACTGCTTCTGGAGAAATGATACCAGTGTGTTGTCATTTGGGGCTAGAAAAATATATTAAAAAGCTCTTCAGCCTGTTAAAAAGACCTGCTCCATTCTTTCCTGCAAGAAGAAGCCATCCAGAACACAAGCTGTCCATGTATTTCTGGTTTATGCCAGCATAATGTAGTCACAGTAGCTGAAGGGTCAATCTTGGTGGAGTCTAGATTCCCCGCTCACCTGCCTCTTTGCTCAGTCTGTACTGGAGAGAGAATGGCAATCTGCTGACTTTCTGGGCAGGAAAATGAGAGTGGGACTGTCCAGCTGGAGCTGGAGATAGTCTTTGCAGTCAGTGTGAGCGCAGCCAAGTGAGCTGGGTCTTTGGGAATAGCTATGAAAGCAACATCGTCTGAGATACTCCCTGTGATAAATGTGACTTGCTTGGATTGTGTCTGTGCTGCCCATTATTGAGGTGCAGATTCCTTCCTCTTCCCATGGGCCTTGGTTCCCTCTTCTCGAGAGCAAGCTGACCTACTCAGAGTTACAGGAATTTGAAGGGTTGCCTCTGCATGATGCCCTCCAGCAGCCCTGGCCCAGGGCCCTCCTGCCTGGCCACTGTCCTCCCAGCCTGGTGCCCAGGTACCCAGCATCTCTGCCCCAGCTGAGGGATGCAGCTGCTGCTTGCATCTTTGCAGGTTCAGTCAACCCTGAAGCCGAGCACGAGTCAGAGCTACATGTGCACACTCAGATGACAGTGACATGGCTGGTCACACAGACTGCCTCAGCCAAGATGCTGCTGTGAGCAGCACCAATGCATGGGACCTATGTAACGTAAGCACAGCCAGCTATGTCCTGTCGCACTCTGGGGCTGGCAGACTCACATGACATCCTCAGGGTTCACAAGCACATACATATGAGTCCGTCAAGCACCAGCATGACCCCTCTGTGTGCCCAGCAGCCCTACCTGGACCTCAGCCCTCTGACCCATCGCACAGGTCCCCTACTTGCCGGCTGGTCCAGCTTGATAGACCAAACGTGCAGCACTACACGCTTGTCCCAAAGGCCTCCCATTCTTGCACATACCCCCAGGTATGCATGGACTTCCAGCCCACCTGATACCCCTCCCTTGACCCAAGGCCTCCTAGTTGTCAACTGTTCCAGCTTGAAGTTTGCTGGTGGGTACACACCTCCGCACACCTGGTTTGTGAGATAGACACTCGCCTGCCCCAGCATCCAGCACCAGGCACACAGGCTGCGAGCAGCTGTCCCGCTCCAGCTGATGGTGTAGAACCTCTCGCTCATGCTGTAACTGGTAACTGTAACTGTAACCTCCCCCCCTGTAACTGGTTTTGTGGATGTGCAGAATTAGTACTTCCGTGTCTGTAGAGTGAGGCCCCACTGGCTCCGGTAGCTGACGCCACAGGCCAGGGGTGCCTGCTCCCTCAGTCCGACTTCAGTAGCTGGCACTGGATCTACTTACGCTGATCCCCCTTTTTCAGCTCTAACAATTCTATGATTCTATGACGTGTTCCCGCTCCCGCTGCCTGTGCTGAGCCACTCACTCACTTCACTCATGCCAGTCCCCCCAGGAAATGGGTTTGGGATACACACTGTTCCTGCTCCAGCAGCTGGAAGCTGAGAGGCCCAGCTTCCAGTCGTTGGCACTGACACTCCACTCACTGAGATCCCATTGGCTCCAGTAGCTGACACCAGAGGCCGGAGGCTCTCACGTTCCCAGTCTGACTTCAGTAGCTGGCACTGGATCCACTCACGCTGATCCCCCCGGTAGCTGGGACTCGGTCCTTGCAGCACACATACACACAGGATAGAGTGAGACAGTGCAGAGAGAATTATGACAAGGTTTAATAAGACAGGACAGACTGCGGTGGTCAAGCTCAGAGCTCAGCCAGGCTGGCACAGGCGCAGGTTTACACTCCACCAGGCTCTGTTACACCTCCCAGCTCCCCCTCCCCTGTGCATTTCCTCAACAGCTGGCAGTCCCGCTGACTCCATCCAACATTGTGGATGCTCAGGTTTGCATCCTTACCCGTTGCAAAGCCCTGGTTGCCTGTAGTTTCTTTAGAGCTCATCAATTAGCATGACTTCCGATGTTTGTTTCTGGTTATTGTCTTTGTTAATGCTAATTGGTCGGGTTTTATGACTCTGTGTTTGTCTCCCTCCCTTTCCTTATCTTTCCAACTGTAAAAATAAATGTTCTCAGACTCGCTCCACAAGTAGATAAAGTTGTTCTCATCAGATTTGTTCTCATCACAACCTGCCTTATCATGTGTCAGGCTTACCTCTGTATGTTCATGTTTATAGCTCCCTGAAAGAGCAGACATGTTCCTTCCAGGTACCCTGACGCTCCGCCGCTGACCGGTAAAGTCAGAAGAAGCTGCCCCGGCAAAGGGCAGAAGAAGCTGTTCGGGCAAGGGTATTGGGTGGGCAGGGGGTCCACACATCCAGAGATACCTGTGAGTGTGGGGTGCCTGTGGGATGAGTGTGTAAGTGCTGCGTGTTTGGTGCATTAAGCTGGACCTGCTGGTGAGTAGGGGGCCCATGAGGTGGGTCAAAGGGCTGGGGTCCAGGTAGGGGTGCTGGGTGAGCAAAGGGGTTGTGCTGGTGCTTGAGGTACCCACAAATGTCATATGCTTGTAAAGCCTGACAGTGTTGTGTGTGTACTTGCACTAGTGACTTGTCTCTCATCCCCAGAAGAGGAGGGGATGTCACTGTCTGTGCTTGTGTGTTACATGGGTCCTGTGTGTAGGTGCTGTTGATGGCAGCGCTGTGGCTTTGCCAGTGTGACCAGCCATGTCAGTGTCATCTGTGTCCATGTGTGTGTCTCTGGGATAGGCTCTTGGCTTTGTTGTCAGTTGAACCTACAAAGGGAAAAGCGGCAGCCATGTCCCTCAGCCTGGGCCAGGACCCTGAGTCTTTAGGTCCCTGGGCTGGACTCCAGCGGCTGGTCAGGAGGGTCCTGGGCTGGGGCTGCTGGAGGTGACTGCTGCTCCTGACATCCCTTAACAATGAGATTCACTGATTAATCCCTGTTTCTGGGATTGATGAACAAGCTCTTCACAGAGGCCATGAGACTGAGGGCTGTGAGGTACAGTACAATGCTATGTGACCCTTCTGTGTTGAGAAATGGACAAGCCTCATTTCTGCAGTCTCTGATGTTAAAACCTATGCATTTGAGCCCTTTCTGTGCCTGGTGAGTGCTCCCGCCATCATGATCACAACCCAAAAAGATGCTGCAGTTCATACCAATTGTTCTTGGGGTACCCAGCCCTCTGAGCTGGAAGACAGAGACAGGCAGCAGAATGAAACCCACATAATCCAAGCGGAAATGGTTAGCTACTTGCTACACAACTTCGACACACACACGTTTGTGGGGCTGGATGGGATCCACCAAAGGGTACAGATACTGAGGGAATGGTGGAAGTGCTCACCAAGCCACTGTCAATCATTTATCAGCAGTCCTGGGTAACCAGGGAGGTTACAGTTGACTGGAGGTCAGCAAATGTGATGCCTGTCTAAAAAAAGGGCTGGAAGGAGGATACAGGGAACCACAAGCCTGTCAGTCTGACCTCGGTGCTGGGAAATGTTACGGAGCAAATCATCCTGAGTGCCATCATATGGCATGTACAGGAGAACCAGATGATCAGGCCCAGTCAGCATGGGTTCATGAAAGGCAGGTCCTGCTTGACAAACCTGATCTCCCTCTATGACAAGGTGACCCACTTAGTGGGTGAAGGAGAGGCTGTTGATGTTACACCATTTCCCACAGCATTCTCCTGGAGAAGCTGGCTGCTCATGGCTTGGGACGGCTGTACTCTTTGCTGGGTAAAAAGCTGGCTGGAAGGCTGGGCCCAAAGAGTGGTGGTGAATGGAGTTAAATCCAGTTGCCAGCCAGTCACAGGTGGTGTTCCCC